TGAGTCCTAGGGCAGAACTAGCTCTCTTAGAGTGGATCCCAGTAGACAGTCGTTTGTGCGCTGTCCGACTGAACGGAACAGTAAGGATCCGAAAAGATAGGGACACACGTCGTTGCCTCTTCGTCGTCTCTGCCTATTCTCCCACTGACTGCAGCGCAGATGATGTAAAAGATGAGTTTTACAGAAAGCTCTCCGACCTTCTCTGAAAAGCTAGGCGCTCTGATATAGTAATAGTGGCCGGTGACTTTAATGCTCAAGTAGGTAAACTAAGTGATAGGGAAAGACACCTAGGTGGAATTTATAGCATCGTGGCTCAAAGAACAGATAATGGCGACCATCTGTTGCAGCTATGCTCAGATAACCGTCTGTTTCTTGCAAATACTAACTTTAAGCATAAGGAAAAGCACCTTTTAACATGGCGATCCCCTAATTCGTCCCAACGTTGGACCCAAATAGATCACATCGCTATCAGCCACCGATGGATGGGTTCGATAGAAGACTGTCGCTCATTCTGGAGCACATGCTTAGATTCAGATCATGCTCTAGTACGAGCGCGTATTTGTCTGCGTCTTACTGGACATAGGAAAGACGCTGCAAGGAAACCTCTTAGGGCCCTACTTAATGATAATCAAGCTAAGAGTATATTTCAGGAACAACTAAAAAAGCAGTTGGGCAGCCATGTAGGTGATGCCCACCCCGAGGCAGCATGGAATGATATCCGAAAAGCTGTGGAAACAGCAGTGATATCTGCTAATAAGGTAAACCATAAGGTTAGGGAGCAACACTGGATCTGAGCCGCATCTATCGCACTGATAGATGCTCAGAAACTCATTCCACCTGGCTCTGAACATAATGAATAGCGGAGTCAGATTAAACGCAAGCTGACAAGAAGTCTACGCAATGATCGTGAACAGTGGTGGGTAGCGAAAGCAAGATAGTTGGAAAAGGCAGCATCAACAGGTAATATCAGACAATTGTTCAGACTTGTTAAGGAAATCGACTGTTAGCGAAACTCTCAGAGAAAGATGGACATATTATACATTCTCAATTCAGGAGATTGGGTCGATGGGCAGAACACTTTAGGGATCAGTTCAACTGGTCTCCAGCCACACTTCGGTTTCCCACGATCTCCAGTCAACCTGAATAGCAAGTTAATATAGGTCCTCCGTCTCTTTACGAAGTTGAAAAAGCTATAAGAAATCTGAAGCGAAGGAGAGCAGCAGGCCCTGACAGATTTACTCCTGAGACTTTTAAGGATGGTGGTCCAGTATTAGCAATGAGATTAACCGAGGTCTTAGGTAGAATTTGGGAACTGGACGCAATCCCATCTGACTGGTCTCAATCACTGATTGTGCCAGTCTATAAGAAAGGACAAAAGTCCTCTTGTAACAATAACAAAGGAATCAGTTTGACAAATATAATGTCTAAAATATTAGCTTCAATAATACTTCGACGCCTAACCAAAGCTCGTGAAGAACAGATTAGAGAAAATCAGGCTGGTTTTCGACATGGACGTGGTTGTATAGATCAGTCATTCACACTACGTCAGGTTCTAGAACACAGACACACATTCAGACGCCCCACAATGGTAGTATATCTCGACCGTAAGGCGGCATTCGACTCTGTTGATCGTAAGGTTCTATGGCAGTGTTTGTCATTGAAAGGCGTACCAAAGAAGTACATTAACCTTATAAAGGCTCTCTACTCGAACACAACTGGTAGAGTGAGAGCTTATGGCGAACTGTCATCAGAATTAATTGCCTCAAGTGGTGTTCGTCAGGGCTGTCCACTCTATCCATTCTTGTTCAACTTTGTTGTCGACGTACTTCTAGAGATAACACTTTCCTCGTCCAGATTTCCAGAGGTTGAACTTCTGTCGGAAGATTCGCTTTTTGACCTAGAATATACCAATGACATAGTTCTATTTGGTGAAGACGCAACGATCCGTCCTAATACAGGCCATAAATGTTGACTAGAGCTCCTTGAGATAGAAAGTACCTCTATATTATTATACAATTCTAAATTATCGAAATCACAAATACACAAACAAAGTTCAACATATTTTAGCAGACTGTTGTTCAATCCGATATGGTAGGAAACCCCACTGCTGATGAACTTTGATTGGACACTTGTGCACGTTCTCAGAACACTTCTAATGCAGCTCGGTAATTCTGGAACAAAATCTCGGAAATCATTCAGAATCCGATCAGCATCTCTGGTGCTCAGACAGGTTTTTGTCATTGAATCCATCAATATCTTAATTATATGCTCTTTACGATTTACAAACTTCTGTAAGCACAAATTAACATCATGATATCCTATAACAAATATGTTAACGTATTAATTTCATAAACGAACCATTATCATCCAGAAGCCTTTCATTGCTGCAGTTTGTGGATGGTGTTATAGTTGAAGGAATCTGATTACAATTATTATCTTTGTTGACTACTATCAATTCAACACAAACCACTGTTAAAGTCAGTTATCTTTGATCGTACTTTCATTAGCAAACTTACCAAACCAAAGCAAGTTATGTTTTATCATGAAAGCTGTTCCCCTTTTTTCGCCTTTATTTCCCCTTTATTGGTTGATCGGGATGGAGTAAAATGCCAACAATTTTCATGATAAAACATATATTGAGTCAATTTTCCAATTTCAGATCGAGGCTGGAAAGTTGGTCGCCTTCATATCTGCCCTTTATATATTAGGACGAGCCTGTTCAACTGCTTGATAGATAGCAGAAGCCGTGAACGTGCATAAAATGATGTATGATCACTCCTTCTAGTAGTGTAAGAAACATTATTTAACTAGCCTCATCACATTGTGTAAAGACTAATTCCAAGACAAACGAGGAGTTTGTTGGATCATATGTGGTTGGATCTTTAATGTGTTGGAATAAATCTAGGGCGATTGCCGTTCCTAACAATTTGCAATAGAACTATGTTTTTGATGACCCTACTTTTAGGCTTCGCCAATTTATAAAGGGCGCATTAAATTTATCAACTATAATGCTTTTACACTTGTTTCGTCAGGATTTAAGTTTATTTAGGAAGAAGTCATACACTACATATTCTGAACTGCGATGTACTACAACTAATTCAATGTCTTGCCCTTTGCAGTTCAGCCGGCGACACGCCAGTTCACATGTTGCTGAGTCGTGTACCATCGTCTTGAAATCTCGTATGGTTAAGGTGCTTTTCATGTGCGCGATAACCCCACCACCCTTACCGTCCTACAAAGTAGGAAACCAAGCAATCGAATCTCGCTATCATATACTTTTGACGGTAACCATGTTTCTGAGCTACGCCATTTTATTTAGTAGGCTGCCAGCATTAGTATAACAAACCTTTAATTATGTGAAATACTTTCTACCACCACCCAGAGTGGTTCGGGCATCGTTTTGCTCCGAACTTTTACATTGTGAAAACCTTTAAGTACAAGGTATTTTCATCGTTCCGTCGGTGCTCATTCATTTCTGTCTCTGCCCGATCGTCTCTGCATGTGATCAAACAAACTGAGATCAAAACGGGCGCATGTTCCTTATTCGGTCTGTTTGCGTAAATTTTTAAATATAAAGGTTTATCTTCTCTGAAAACAAAAGTAAATCTTAATATGCGGCCTGCCTATGTACTTTCCGAATTCACTTTTTGTCTCATTTATTAGAATTTCTGAATGCTAACCCCTACTACTGTTTCCAGGAGTAGCTTGGTTATTAAGGAGCTAGTATGACTCAAGTCATGTTCAATCTTTTCTTTTCCAGAAGAATAATCTCTTGGCTTTGTCTGGCTAATCAAACAGAATTATTACCCAACGCTTAATTTTTCAGCCCAGCATGTAGATTTACGCCTGGTTTTAGAGTTTCATTATAATTTTGGGATTCAATATAGGAGCTACTAGACTGATTTTTATTATTGTTTATTTGAACACATAAATATTGGTACAAGAGAGCACCAAATATATATGTGCCACACAAAACAATGAGAATGGGAAGAGAAAAAAGAAAGTAAGGAAAAAAAGAACAATAAAGACCACAAGATAGTGTATTAATAATAATAATAATAATAATAATAATAATAATAATAATAATAATAATAATAATAATAATAATAATAATGGGGGAAACGAAAAGGTACAACCAGAAAAAGTCGTTCAGTTAAGGAAGAAACAACCATTTTTTAATGAAGAAAGTAAAAGTAGGTTACAGCAGGATCGCCACTGGCTTCTACTCTGAGCCATATCTGATAACGTCTCTAGCCACTGTGTAGCACCATCTCTAGGACCCCAACCAGGGAGTCGTGAAGGACCAACAGAAGCCAGCCCTTTTCAGCTTTCTTTCATACCACGACACCATGTCATACACTAGTCACCTGTCCGCTTTCTTCAACCAGTCTCAGCGTCGACAAATAATGCACGACGTGGAATTCTCTGGGAGGACATTCGTAGAAAATGTCCAAGCCACCGAAGTCGATGTTTCAAGATGATGACACCAATTGGATTATCTTTTCGCCCGAACACGCGATACCGAACCTCTGCATTACTAACATGGTGTTGCCACTGGATGTCAGCAATCCTTCGGAAACAACGATGATCAAACACAGAGAGTCGTCTAACGTCATCAACTCGGAGAGGCCATGTTTCATAAGCATGGAGCAGAACTGCTCTCACCGACGCGTTGTAGATCCGACCTTTTACAGTTAGACTAACATCACGAAGGCGCCAAAGATGACCCAGATTGGCACAAGCCACTCTAGCTTTCACTATACGTGAGTCGATCTCATCACTCACGCCACCACCAGCACTTATGCAGCTACCTAGATTAATACATAGTATCAGTCTGTGTAATTCATTGACTGGTAAACTGAGGAATGAGTTGTAGACTCTTAAGTTCTTGTAGAATATTATAACGTATGCTTGTAGATGTCACTTGCTGTACCTTCATAATGTGCCTTCAAATGACTTTTTTTATTCATTTTAGAGTTTAAAGTAAATAAACAGTGAATATGAGGTGGATCCCTCTAGAAGCTAATCCTCAGGTATTTTTGCGATTATTTGATAATTCTTTAGGTCCTGAATGAAGTACAAACTATTTTAAAGATGCATTAAATTTCTAACATTATAGTATATGAATAAACTTGGAGTTGTCGAAGAGTCATGGAAATTTATAGACATTTTTAGTTTGGATGATGATATGCTTGCATTTGTACCAGAACCCGTGATAAGCCTATTATTTTTATATCCTCTTGAAGCTTCCATTGAAAATGCTTCATTAGGTGTTGAGGATAACTCATCCAATGTTGTTTTGATCAAACAAACGGTCGGTAATGCTTGTGGAACTATAGCTATATTACATGCCATAGTAAATAATAAACAACATTTAAGCATCAAAGGTAAGTCATAACTTTTTCTTTCGTCCGAAATGTTTGAGGTTTATCATGCACTCTGGAGATGTCAATAAAACTTATAGCTCAAAACGAAATCTCATCTATGCTAGACCTTTGTAGGCAGAACTGATTTCCGAAAATGGAAGTACATAACACCATGAAATACTTTAGTAAATTTTTTGGTGGACTTTTGTTCTTTGAGCTAGATAGTTTATTCGTGGAGCTTTCTTCGTTCTTCTGAACAATATCAGCACACACTTCAGGTAGAAGTAAAGTGTTCGAATCCGAACATAGTGGCCAACATGTAGGTTTCATCTCTCACCCATCAATTCTATATTCTGATACAACTTTTAATCAAGATTTCTCAATATTCACCACATCAGCAAGGTAGGTTTTCAAATGATGGTACTAAATACTTTACTGTTTTGGCACGTGAAAGTTAGAAAATGCTATCAGACAAAATGTGTCATACAACAGGTTTCTCAGTCCGTTTTGTAAAACTCATATTGTGTACTTTCTACTTTTAACCATCTTATCCTGAGTTTAAATTTTCGATGTTATTTTACTGCATTTTCCACTTCATGTTTTCTTTGTATGTCATCAAGAAATGGAATTAGAATTAAGCTTTGGCTGATTGGTTAATAACAAGCCATTTATTTCACATAAATAGTAGTAATAGTAGATTTTAACTGCGCTCTCTAATATAATATTCCAGATGGTTCCTTTTTGAGCAGCGTTTTAAAGGAATTCGAAAATAAGACACCTGCTGAACGTGGAGTTATCGTGGAGAGTAAAGTAATTGGATTCATCCTGATTTATTTTCTCTACTAGAAAGAAATTTCTGCGTTGCATGAAAAGTCAGCATTAGAAGGTCAAACAGAAGTTTGTTCATTTCTTTGAATTTTATATTTTGCAATCTTTATTTAGGCACCAAACGCTGAGTCAAAAACTAATTTGCACTTCGTATGTTTTGTTGAGCATGATGGATCTCTATATGAACTCGGTATGTTATGTCTATCGTCAACCTCGGAAATGTAATACTCTTACTGTATTTTAATATTTATGGATGTAGGAGTAATGAGTAACAAATGTAGTCGATAAATTAAAACATAAAATGAAGTATGGGAACTTAGGTTTTACCTTACCTCAAATGTTATTATATGAAGTAGGATTCAAGGTGATCATAATATTCTAGAAATATCACTTCATATAGATCACTCAGTCTTAATCTTAGAAACTTGTGTAATTATCGTAATAAATCTAAAACTATGGCTCAGTGATGTATACATTTGATTTTTAATCATTGAGCCACAAAAAATGTGGTTCTGCGATTAGATAAATTTGTAGTTTTTCTTATTAAGTTGCTTACAGGAATTTACTGAATTGCTTTCTAAATAGTCGTTCTTTTTTATATGTTTGTTTGTGATAACTGATACGATTCTCACGAATTATGTTCAACAGGTAGGCCATGATTGGTTGGAAAGTTAGTGACCTACAAACTGATCTCCTCCAATTAACTATAATATTTATCATATTACATCATATTATCTTTTACATAAGCAAGTCATTTTGTTACATAAAAAATCAATCCTTTTGCCAGTGGTCTTGTTTGTGATTTACAATTATCCTTGGTTTACGTCAGTAATGTAGTCTCCTGAGAAGCTGTCATTCAGCCGCATCGAATCATTAAATGTTATCGGTCGGTCAGTATTTTAATTATTGATTCTAAAAATGGAAAATTCGTTCATCAAACTGTAGATCCCTTATCCATAAAAATAGTACCAACATGGTTATTCATACTATAAGGTATTTACAGAAATAAATCTATTTATCTATTTTAAAATAGCTATCACCTTAACTTCCTTAGAAATAAAGAAGCGTATTCGTTTCTACAAAATTTAAAATAAGTTCTGACCATCATAAGTTTAGAGGTCAATCTTCAGTTTTACTGCGAATTTATTACAATCTAAAAATTGACTCATCCGGTAGATGTAGATATGACATTAGAGCGGCCTGCTTGAGCATCTGGGCTACCCGTTCCTGCCATCTAGATATTTCAACAAGTCATCTGTTTTTGTTTGCTTTAATATATCATTATGTTTATTAATCTCATAACCTATTCTGCTGCGTTTCTGAAAAGTGTACAACCTTTCGTTGTCAAAGTTACAAAATCTCAATAAGAGACAATGTGGTTGCTGGCAATATACAGCGTAAAGAATGCACATTATTCAGATGTTCATTTACTGAACTGCTAACATCTAACTGGAGATCACTCAATATTTATCGCCAGGACCGACCAAGAAGAAAGAAACGAAAATTTGTTGAAATACTTTGCGCTGAGAATTCTTTATTGTACAAAAATATAACATTGAATAAAGCTGATGGTAATAATAATAATAGAAAATTTTTTATTACTGGCTGCACTCAATGTTCACTTCTGAGCACTCATTTTGAATCATGATAATTGCTTTGAACTAATGGTTTGCTGTATGAAGCATTGAATTTTCAGCCATTGGGTTGAACGTTTGAATTTTTAGTTTTGACTAGTCGCGCACTATTTTTGGTTTTCACACAACATAGCTCACAAACGAGCAAATGAATCTACTTGACTGCTGAGTCGTATAAATGAGGAATAATTAATTTTAACTGAATAATTATTAATTTTTTTTTCTAAGTATTAACTCAATCGCTTTTTTTCCGTAATATGAGACTATGATATGATGTTTTTGGTTTCTTGGTTTTTGAGGATTTTACTTTCTTTATGATCACAGTCACCATTAAAATAATGTAGTTTACGATCGCATATCTGTTCAACATGCTTACATAAAGTTATATTAGTCAGGATCGAATAAAAGTTTCTAGTTATGATTCTGATCTTTTGTCACATTTATTCAAAATTCATTATCACAATAGATGATAAAACATTTTTACTACATGTGTTCAGATTTTATTTTCACGAAAAGCGGTTTCCGGATTGTCATGTAACGTCATTACAATTCGAAAATATATTCTCAAAGATCGAGATAGACAATACCGTTGTCATTTCATCAAATTTTTAGTGTGAGAAAGAACTGGGCCAGAATAAAGCTCATCACGTTAAACTTATTTTTTATGACTGTGAATCATATTTTATGGAACAAGCAGTACTTCTGTTTAATTTGCCAGTCAGGATCAGATCTAATTATTTTAGTTCCATAACCTAGATGACTTTGACGGAATGCTTAAGGTCTATAATAACAATCCCAACAAATTTTTATCAATATTTTCTCTAAACACTTCTCCAGTGGCGATTAAATTTGCAAACAGATGTCCCTTATGAAATTATTATTCATGAAGTGGTTATAATCAAATGGAAGTTTAAGGTAATTGAAGTGCAGTGGTACATTCGAATTTAATCGTCAAATAATTCCTCTGTATATGGTTAGCATAATCGCTTGTCATTTATCATACTTTTAACTCAAATGGTGTACCCTTGTGTTTCTTATCAGATTCGAAATTATTTTAATATTTTGTTCTAGATGGTCGAAAAAATGCACCCGTTCTCCATGGATCGATAACATCAGCTGGTTTTCTAAGAGATGCATGCAATGTAGTCAAAAAGTTCATCACTTGTTTACCTGGAAGTGTAGAATTCAGTTTGATGGGATTATGTTCTGATAATAACTGACTACAATAATGAATTTTTCTAAAGTTTTTTGCACTATATCTCCATTTCAACTACTTGTAACACATCACTTAACTGCATTTTCTGGTATACATTGCTATTTGATTTTTGTACGATTTCTATAATTAAAAAACAAATCAGTCATACATTGTTTAGGTTTCTTATACAACTGTTTAATGAAATGTTTTGTAAAGAGCAAGAACAAAGATTCTAGCAGAATATCATGAATTCATTTTATTTCGTAGGTTCTCGTCAGCTGCTTACAACCTGTGATATTTAAAAATCATAATTACATAATGGGTTTAAATTGCTAACTCAATATTGTAAATATATACCTAATGTGAGAGAATATTCTACAACATTAATTGTGACAACAGTTCAAAAGTGGGCTAGAAACAATCGATTACATAATGAATAACATTGAAGGAATGTAGTGAGTAGAGTTCAGTTGAAAGATTATTAATTTGAAAGATAGTTGAAAAAATAAAATCAGTGACGTAACAAATACAAAAGAAATAAAATTTAAGGTGCAGCGAAAGAATATTTGTCGCCAAGGCAAGGGAAGATTAACAACCGTCTCCTTTTGAATACATAGGTCAGATTTTGGACGCCTGATGGCAATGGCTTCAGCAAACTCCAGAAGACTGGAGTTTGGCTGCTTACTAATCACCCTAAAGGATTGATGTTCTGTATCAAGATGTTTGGTGATTGCACTGTTCAAAGTCTTTCTTTCCCTTGTTCTAAGACTTTTTGGAACATGTTCAAAGGATCTAAGATATGCTCTCCTTTCAGTTCGGCCGATGTAGCTGCTTTGGCAGGTACACGTAAATTTATAAATACAGTTGGCGGTAACCTGAAAGAGTTGCTTGTCGATCTTTGATTGGGTTATTGGACATGTTGTTTTATAGAGAATTGAAAGTTTAGCAGCCGGATAAGTTTTGGCTATCGCTGTATTCAGTCTCTTGTTTATAATTTGTGCGACGTCATCACCTTTAAAGTTTAGATTTATATATACTGGCTTTTTATTGACGGTAATAACTATGGTCAATTATATAATTCTGTAATTTAGTTCAAAAAGTTACACTTGAAACCGATACTCGGCTCATCATAACAGCATTCTTTCTTGATATAACAAAATGTTTATTTGTTGAATAAATAAATCTAAACATTTTATACTAAAAGTCAATAAATCATAACCATAAATTGTATACTACAATAGACTCATCAATAATGTTAAGCATTAAAATGTGACAAATTTCTTAACAAATAGTAATTTAGGTAAAATACATATTCAAATATATATAGATTATGAAAGAAATTTTCTTCACAATCTGACATCATTTAGAGAAACGATAAATATCAATGATCACTGAACAACTGCTTTTTAGCTGTTTAGTACACCTTAACAATATAGAGTTAAATCTTCACTTAAGATTGAGCGCTACATTCTGTAATATTTCTATATGCATAAAATTACTCAATTATTGAATTTCAATCAAATGGTTATTACTAATACAAAATTACTCATATCCTTGTCCTTAAATTTTTTATAGTTTCTTTTCAGTTATTAAGCCTTATTAGTTTTGAATGAGACTTATGTAATTTATTTACTTATACAAGTATTTGTTTTCAGATTAAATTAATGTTGAATAAACTTTCACGTGATGCCTCATATAAATATTGTAGTAGTTCAATCCATTGTTCTATTTTCTTTTTGTTTGTTTTATGTAACTATAATAATACTATACTATAAATTGTATAAAATATTCTAATTGAAAAGTTAATTATGGTTGAGAGCATAACTGTACCTAATAGTAGTAATAACTTATTATATGCATTAACATCTTATACATTTCAAACGATCATTGATTTGTATAGTATTGTAGGTTCCTTCTATAACAATGATCAATTTTAATTTAAGCGTTTAATCCAATTATTTTTAAGTATTCAATACTATTTATGAATAAAGGAAAATATTGTTGCTGAACTAGAAAGTTTTAATTTTATTACTTCACTATGATTTTGGCAAATATTTTATTTGAGCGCTATGAGTACTATTGACAAATCAGTGTATCTACAAGTCCATATTTAAAACAAGTATAACTTGATGGTTAAATGTAGATGATGTGAAACCCCTATACTACTTGCTTCTATTTAATAAATCATAAGAGAATTGATATTCCATGTAGTATTCAAACTCGCATCACTAATTATTCCTCCTAACTATCTCCAATCATTTAATTTCTCAACATTTTACACGCGATGCATAGTCAGTTGGACTGGAGGGAATAATACAATATGATTGATAGGACTAGATCAGCATTTGAGACTAGACATGTTATGTGGATGATTGGCCGACGTCATTTGCAACGTTCGCAAATCAGAATTTCGACTATAATTTTCAAATCCATCATCTGCTATTCTGTCTATGGTCTAGCGTATTTATCCTTAACCAATGCACTCTGCCCGACAAAATTTACGTTAAGCTAACGTAAGCTGAACATCTATCAGTCTACCTCCAACATCGTGTTCGACAAAAGTCTGCAGTCAGGTCTTTGGACTATATTTTAATAAATTAACTTAGCAGCTAACTCAAGCATGAAAAGCCAAACTAGATCACAGCGTAAAATATTAAAGCACAGTTATTACACAAATATGCCGAAATTGGTTGTAAACCAAGCAAACTGTAAATTATTTCGGAATGATAAAAAGTATAGTATTAGTTAATATGTCAAACGGAAAATTAAAATTAGCGAAATATAGAAGCAGTTTTCCAGTTACTTAGTAATCATAGAATAAAACTATCCATAATAATATTTTGAAAAGTAGTTCCGAAATTTCCAACATGTTCAGTTATAACAATATTCGTCACTACTACTACAGTAGCGGGGAGTAAAATATATTCATTTAGGAAATATGTACTTATATCAAGATCATGGTCCATTTAACCTAAAGATTCGAAATTCGGTGGTTAATATTTTGTAACTCAGTCAGATTGTGATATTGTATGATCACTATCCAATGTTACCAGCTCTCGATTTGACTGCGTTCTGTAGGTCACGTTTTATCCTGAAATGATTGAAGTTGGAAGCGTACGCTAATGGATCCCAACTGAGTGACCGAATAGTTAAGCGTTTACTACGAAACCTTAAGTCCCTGAAATATATCCTTTGAAGTATCATGGGTGCATACTCCTGAAGAGCCTCATACAAAAACGGAACAGCCGTTCATTTTTCCCTGGTTTTGAATTGTACGCCAGCTGATGTCACTATGTGACGAACACGATATACAAGTTTTGAGGAACAATTTCTAAATAACAAGAATAGCCAATAAGGCGTAAAATTATTCATTTAAAATATATATGTAACCTCGATTGTCGAAACGGAATGATTAGTTGAAGGTTACAAGCTGTCTTTGGAATGATAATTTAAGATAGGTTATTCAAAAATGATAAAAGCATTGTAGTTACTCAATATTGAATAGGAAAATTAAGCCCTAATTTATTGCGACCTCATGTAAATGATTTATTCAGAAAACAACTAACGTGGAAAAGAAGTTAAAATAGTAAAAAAAAAAACAAATTGAATAAAATAACAAATACAATCACGTTTAAGTATAGTGATAAACATGATTCATTTTGAATTTTTTTTATGGTGCATATGTATTGGTGTGTGTGAATGCCAGATTAGGTTCTAACTGGTTGATTCGATCTTATTAGTGGTATGAAATGTATTATAATTATCAGCACTTGCATTTTGCACGAACAAGAATAGTTCGACAATCTCCACAACCCACTACATTTGTTTATTGTTAGATAGAATGAGTTAATTCTTTACTGTTTTAGAATTTGTTTTAATTCGTTTGTTGTAAGTTAGTGGCAATATAAAACTAAAGTATCAATTCATGAGTTTTCTTCCCAAGAACTAACCGCTTTTTCCAAACATAGTTTCAATAATATTCGTTAGAAAACTATTTGGATTGTAATACACTTATTATACAGCTTTTGTTCTGTTATAATTTTAGTTGCTCTATTGAATAAATTGAGATCAAAATATAGTTTAGTTCTGGAAAAAATTTCTTATTGGATTGTTTCTCATCACCACAAATGACTATATTGTGTGTTCCATTCAAATTTCTTTTAAGTAAGCAGTCTTGAGATGTGAATTCAGTTTTGTTTTTTTAGAAGTATGAATTTGATATTAGAGTAATAATTTTAATAGTTGAGATCATAAGTCAATTGAAGCTAGACTACGATGGAAAACATGGAAGCACTGGTGGTTTAGCCTCAATTGATTCATGATCTCAACTATTAAAATTACTGTAATATCCACAAAACTCCTTCTGAAATTATTGATAAGTTTAAAACAGTCCTTAAAGATTATTTTTAATGATAGAAATGAATTATCTACATATGTCAGTAGAATGGGAGATATTATAACACAAATAAAAATATTTAATTTTCGGTTGGTCATACGTAGGTAGATGTGTGACCGACTGTGATTATAGGTAAGTAACCTATTTATGAACACTAAAGAAATATCTTTATAAGCACAAGTATATAATGATATAACCATGTAACTTATTATTATTTCATTTTTTGAATTAATTAATTTCAATACTTTTCATTTTAAATAATGAGAATCTTTAATTAAAATGTTTAAGCGGTTTATTCGGGTAATGTGTCAGGGGGTATTTGTGTAATTAATTACTCTTTTAAAAGGAGTACCCCTATCTATATTTTCATAAAATAGAAATATTCAATCTATTTATTATTAATAAGTTAAGGTTCTAGAACTAAAATATCATGTGATTTAGAATTAATACCAGGTTTATGAACTAAACGCAAAATTTTCATTCAATTGATCAGTGTTTTGACCTTGTAAAACCTAATCGGTTAAGATCTTGGAATAGATTCTTAGTTTAATTACTTCAATTTTTCTCATAAACCTCTTTCAGTTATTTTTATCATACTAAAACAACGATTCAGTAGTTAGAATTCTCTC